CTCAGCCGGGGGAACGGTAGGAGCAGCATCGGTCGCCTTGGCTTTCTTTGACCGGGGAAAATTGAATTTCCTTCTTTGCTGCTGCTCCGACTCCTTCGGAGGCATGGTCGCTGCATGCAAGCATCATTAGTAATAGTATTTCACTCACGACCAGAAAAGAACCAGTTAGCAATACTTACTCAATGGGGCTCTAAAGACGCGTTTGCATTGAAGAAACCATATTTTCGCAGATTCGCGGTCGTCACAAGCTTCTTCGCGTCGCGACTGACTTTAGGTAGGAAGCCGAAAGACACGATCATATCCCGATTGTAGAGTAGCCCTAGGTCGATCATCTTGTTAACTGTCAGAAAAGAAACAGGTCGTTAGAAAGTGCATTTCAAATTTGATGAGTTCGGCAAGGGAAAAGAGCCTACTCGGGTCCTGAAAGCGGCAATGGCCGTCGTAACGAAAGAAGAAAAACTTCGTTTCGTAGGCCCCCGCGTTGCTAGGGTAGCCGTGTATCCTGTCGGCAATGATAGGTCGCTTGGACAAGTAATAAGAGTGTTTGTCCTTGCTCTTTTTCAGGTAATATGAGCAGCCGAGCTTCACAGCGGTCAGTTCGTCGAGCCCGTTCTCGCGACACGCGATGTACATTGCAACAACAATCACGTATGCGTTCGGAATGAACTGCATCGACGCTATCCCAAAGTAATCCAAAATCGACCTGATAAAAGGGTGGAAGGGGATCAGACCCCCACCCTTGATGATCTCTTCAGAGATCGCGGCCAACCCACGGGATGGGTATCGCGATGAGTGGGCCACATCGCGGAAAACCTCCACCTCGATACCATATTATTTAATCACCCTCTCGAGCTCTTCCCCTGTAAGTACCGAGTAGACCTCAGGAGTGACGCTCGGAGCACCCTGCGAAGACGAACCGGTTCCTTCCTTGGATCTGGTCGTTGAGGGGTCCATTCTACTGGTCTGCAAAAGCGACAAGTAGGGGGGTCATTTAGCCATCGTACGCTACTCCGTACGACGACGTGGAAGGAAACAGACTCCCTAAAACCTAAAGAAAACCCTAACAGAATGATTCGAGCTGTCACTCATGGCTCGAACCCGACATGAGTGTCTCGTCTCCGATGAGTTACCGGAAGACAAACGCCATTTACCGACCGTAAAAAAAAAAAAAAAAAAAGAAAGATTCTTACCTTTCAAAATACGAAAATGGCTTCTGCTTCGAATATCAGAAAGACGCTGGTTTGGAAGGCAAATACTCCAAGCTTGCGAAAATCTCTTGCTCTCTGTGAAAATAACAGTGTGGTGACATTACCTGAGAAAGATCAGAGTTTTTATAGCGCATGAACCGACGTTTGTTTTTCTCGGAATCAAAACGACGTTTGGGCGGCAAAAATTTCTCACCGTTGATCACTACCACGTGTTGTGAATCAGTGAGGAAGAGTGAGCATCATGATTGAAGAAAATCAAATCTTCATCTTTTCCGTTGACAAACTCAAGCGACGACACTCTCTCTCTCTCAGCATTAATTGCGCCCCAATCTGCATTTAATGCTCTGATAAGGGGCGTCGTTTCAGCATGTCACACATTTAATATTCTGATAAAGGGTACCGTGTAAGCACACAATGCATTTAATGCGCTTGGTTGGCACTTGCTACGCACATGACACGTCTGTCAGAGTAGATACCGCTTCATTAAATGCGTCCACACCAAAAGCACAACAGGTAACTCCTGAAGAAGTCAGGTCGCTCATCCTTAGCAAGCAATGACTGTGCGAGGTCGTGTTCGCGCAGAGTACTACCCCGACCTATTTTCAAGCAGGTCGGAATCACCAAAATTTCCAAAAGCATCCAGCCATGGCATGACTTGTAGTTTCCAAGGTTCGATCCTCAAACCTTAAAAACTAGGGGACTTCTGTTATGCCCGAAAAATATAGGGCTGACGTAAGGTCTAGTCAGAGTACAAAAGTCAGAACATGGGTTCACTTGCAGTCTACTTCTGTCAGAATAGTGGGTGCGCGCCAGACTTGCCAGGAGCTGTGGTGATCCCACGTGTCCAATCCCTGCGCCAAATCGCGCAAATCACTATAGAAGGTGGGCAATGTGACATAAAGAAGGATTTGCACGGATAATCCCACCAACTCACAGATTCAGTGATGATTGCCTTAATCCATCCCACTATAAATTGAGAGTTCCTCTCTCATTCAAGGGATTCGCTAATTTTACTCTTGAATAGCTATTCTCTTTCTGTAATTTGTAGCATTCATTCGCTTGTACTATCATTTGTAAGTCAGTCCGCTAATGCGACCTGACCCCTATCATTAATAAAATAACAGTGGACGTAGGATTCACTTGCTGAGCATCCGAACCACTTTAAAAACGCTTTTCTCGTTGCATTACTCTCTTTTCCTTTACATTCACGTGTGTCTTCTGGGCCAGCTCAGCATTTCACATGTACGTTTCGTTAGTGTAAAAATCACGCATCAACAAAAACTTTAGTAGCAATGATATTCTTACTTTCAATTTGAAACATTATTGGTAATTAAATTTCTTCCTTTCAATGAATATGTTTTTAATATTATAATACAAAATGGTTAAATAAAACACGAAATCTTTGGAGTTTGGTAAGAATAGCATACTCTTGAATTCATCTATTTTTGAAGCGTGGATCAATAGCAGAGTGAAGAAAATTAGGGTTTATGATTATAATGGAAAAAAAATAAAATCATATCCTATTTAGTAATTTTTATGAAGGATTGTTGTTATAAAAACTCACAAAAACCAAAGATACGCAATCAACCTTGATGGGATTGAGTAGGATCTGAGCGTGATCTTTAAGAATTAACAAGAAAATGAAATGAATAATAAATAAGAATAAAGAACAATTTTTAAAGTAATTCGACGTGTTAAATCAAGCCTATGTACACTGTTCTTTTATTTCTTATTTGCCTTATAATAAGTTTTTTCTTGTAACTCTTCATCCCTTTTACAATGAGTTTGAGGGGGTTTATATAGTACATAATGAACAACGGTTACAAGTGGAAAATCAGGGATAATGGCGTGATTTTTGGGAGTTAATCACATGATTTGGAGCTGTTGTCACTAGATTGAAATTGCCAGAGTTATGCCGAAATTTTCTCCCCGACTCTAGGAGATAAGACTTACAAACGGTGATAAGGCTTATCTACAATCTGAAAGATAGTAACCAAATAACTCGCTTCACCTCGTACGTAGCACAGATCGCTTCAATTTGGTAGTCGCCACACAAGCCACACCAAGCTCTTGATTGCTCTGAGCTACTGTCTGCTCCGAGCTAGTTGCACATTCTCACACAACAAGGATAAAGTTGTAATTAAATTAGAAAAAGTAAACAGGGTCTATTAAGATAAATTGTGGGAGCCAATAGCATCACTCTAAGTTAAAATACAGTACTTAAAGAGTTTAGCTTTATTTTCAAAAACTCATGGTAGATAACGGTTAATATATAAATCCGATACTCACCTATGTTTCAATTGTCGCACACCATTAATCTAGAACTTTGTACATAAAAAAGGTTCAAAAACCATTAATCTAAAACTTCATTTATTAAAGAATAATATACGTATTTACATTGTCTTTGATTAAAGAGTTGCTTTAATATGTTTTCGGCATACACTAAGTCCTTTATTGAGCAAAATTTTTGACAAAAAAATATTTTTCAATGCAATTATATAATCAAATTTTGTACATTATACATTTTTTTTAATCGTGTACCATAGGCATGTTGAAACAATTCAATTACCAAATGATATAGATAAATAAAAATATATATAAAGACTAAATACGTATAATTAGGAGGAGTTTGAATCATATTATGTTTTTATTATAGGGGATGTTATATGAACGGAAAGATAAATCATCTTGAAGATTACTGAGAATATTTAAGAAAAGTGTTCGGTTTGTTCGAATAAATTGGTGAATAATATGTTTAATTGGGAGGATAAATGAGTGGGTATGTTATATAAATTACTAAATTGCCCTCGTTTTTAAATATTAATATAATATTATTTTTTGAATTATTTCTTTTAATTTCTTACATTTGAAATTTTGCTAAAACACACATCCATATAAAACTTTAATTTGTAGCAAAATCGCCCCCATCCATCCCAAGCCACTGCTAGCAGCCAGGCACTATAGCTGGCCGCTACCGGCAGTCGACGGAATGGTGCACGACTGGCCATATATGGCTGGCCGTGCGCCGACAAAGCCATTTTTGACCATAGATCACAAATCCATGGTCGTTTCACGGCTAGATCCATGGCCGTTTTACAGCTAGATCTATGGCCATAGATTTGGCCGTTCCTCAACTAGATTTGTGGCCATTTCACGACCACATCTTTGGCCGTGAAACGGCCAGATCTGGCCATTTCCAACTATGAATCACAAATCCATGACAAAAAAAAGCCTTACTAGTGCACGACCTACCAAATCCCGCCGGTCGTGCGCCATTACAGTGATTGATGCTTGTTGTCGGTGGTGGTGAGTAATTACCAACGTTGATCTTCAGTGGTTGAGGATATTTTGTTAACTTTTAAATTTTTTTGTGGCTGTAGTGTTTTAGCTAATTTCTCAAATGTGGGGGCTGGGTAATTGTTATTTGGTAGATATTTGAGGACAATTGTGTCTGAAATGATATTAAATTAAGGGCAAAATAGGTGTCAAAATTAAATTATCCGATAATCTTTTAATAACACTCCTAGGGGAGGGTATCAGATTACCCCCTATATTATCGACACTAAACAATATTTATAATTAAAGATACTCATAATATTTTATTAGTTAGTTTACCAAAATCTTATAAAATAAACTAAGATTATTCCGTCATCTTATATGTCTCCTATCCATGCGAACCGTTAGTTCCATTGCTGAATGCGACTGGCGCCGAATGAATTTGCTAAAAATATTATTACATTATTTAATTAATATTTTGCAGCTCATTCTAATTGAGTTTCACATAGTAATCACCGTGCTTGAAAAGGAAAACCACATCGAAATCAAAACATAATCACCCCTGTGAAGTAATTAATTAAGGCAAATTACCGAAACTCATTAATTAATTCCCTTTTCATTTCTTCTCCATAACTCGACATCTCTCTTTTCTTTTACTCGAAGCACTGAGAGTGTGATCGATTCACTATTCACCATGGCTCGGCCTGCAATGGCGTCGACGATCAAAGCCTACGCGGTGCCTCTCACTCTCTTCCTCCTCGCTTTGTATTATCAGCTCGTCGTTCTTCCTCGCTCCTTTCCTCCCTCTCATTACGAAGGTCCGTCGCAATTGACACCTACGCGCGTGCATTTCTTTCATTCATTTGTTAATTATTTATGTGTCTTTTTTTTCCTTGAATTTTAGTTTTGGGAATGAAACGGCACAGTTCTATCGAAGAAGTGAAAGACGCGTACGAGAAGTTATCCTCTAAGTGGTAATTTAATTGCTTCTTTTTCATTGTAATTGTAGTTTATTTTGTTTATTATTTTTATTGAATTTTGTGTATAATTGATTGTTTCAGGAATTCAGGTGAGGAAGTTCCAAGTACTGCTGATTTTTTGAAGGTTCGTGAATTTTATTTTTACTTGCTTTGCTTTTTGCTTTTTCTAGATAGACAAAGTTATGATTACATTATAAGCGGCTGCTCCTATTTGTTTTGTAAATATTGATATCAGAAGACTGTCACGTTGTTTTAGGTTGAGGTAGTAATAAAGATTGTTTTATATTTGGTAGAGTGGAATTTCACAACTTGCATGTTAGTACTTGTTGAAGCAATGGTTGTGCTTCTCTTTTGTAGTAGCATCTCTCATCCGGATTAACGAGGTTGTAGGTCAACTTCTGCTTTTGTAATTTTAAGTTTCTTTTTCGATTTTAACTCTGGTCATGGTGAATGTTATTTATTAAAGTTTAAGATTTTGTTATGTGTCTGTTACATTTATGGAGTCATATATTCTATTGGTATTAATCTTCTCTTTCCATGGAGTTACCCTCTCTCTATGGAGTTACCAAAAGTGAAGTCGTCATTTGCGATGACCAGTTATGAAGGTGACAATAGTTAATTTAAATTTTGAATTCCAACTTTCCATCCAATATTTGAGTGCAAATGGATCAAGTGGGACAATGAGTTTCAAATTTATCAATATGAAGGTTTGCACTCTTTTATGGTATGGTGACCTGGATCTTTGCAATTAATGAATTTAGAAAATGTTTCTAAAAGTAAGTAATTAAATCTACAATTCTATGTTTTTAGAAATCTCAAATTTGGTTGCTTAAAAGTTTTTCATGGGCAAGGACTCATATATTATTTGTAAGAAAATGAAGAAAGTAGTAATTTGTTGTTACACTGTCACTTGTGGCAAAGCCCTAATGCCTGAACAAAGATTAAATTACCACAACATCTACACTCTGGGTGGGGGAGGTTGATTAATAAATTGGGGAATTATAAACACTAAGAGGAAGGAAAAGAAAGTCATGCATGCTTTCATTGCATATATTTGCTACTACTCTATCATTAACATTTGAACTTAAACTTTATATGCTTATTGGGACTTTGGCCTCATTGTGCAAATAATAAACCATTGTGATTTGATTTTTATTCTGTCGTCTTTGTTGAATGTGAGGCTTATTGTAGGAAGGAGCCTTTTGTTATTTATTTTTTGAGTAATGCTGTTGGTTAAATTTATGGTTTCCCTTGCAGGTCCGATATGCTTATGAGCTGCTGATCCATCCTTTATGGAAGAGGGACTATGACATATATGGAATTGATGAGCAACTAGTATGTAGTTATTTATCATTTATTACGATGTCCTGTTTGTATACTTCCCAACTCTTTTTCTTCCTCTTCCAGTTTTTACTTTTTTTTTTTTTTTAATTTATTTGCTTGATTTCTTGTCCTTAGCATGTTCTTGATAAGGTCAGAGAACAACATGGTGGGGATAGTTTCTCACAGGTAGACCTTCCATTACTTGATGCTGCCACTTCTGGTTAGTAAAGATGTCTTTTTTTCTTTCAGTTTTGAATTTGGGAGTGTTTCAAAACTGCTGATAGATTCATAAAGTGTATCTTTCCATCAGATTACGGTGATTATGCCTTTAATGTCATTACATTGAAGGATTTTTTGTCTATGTTTAAAGATACTAAGCCACGGCTAATTCAGGTTAGAACACTATGGATATATTGTGCTTGATTTTCGAATGCCTGTAAAGCAATTATAATTTTGGTAAAATATTTAACAATGAATATTAATGGATGCAGGTTTACTCAGACGCGAGCTATCGTTGTGCTCAATTTTCTAATGCTTGGAAACGAATTGGTATGCATTCATTTGGTGATAGATTGTAAGTTTGGAAGTCAAATTTTGTTCTCTCTCTGTTGTTCATAGGATTTGTTTGCTTAATTGTCACTTTTAACAGTCAGGACAAAAGTGGACCTTTGGACCAGAGCAGCTAACTCAATTAGAAATATTAAATTGAATTAAACTTGGTCACTGATGAACAAAAGAGCTCCCATTCACACCTTTTTCTTGGATGAAAAGGCTTGAGCTCTGCATTTTTGGTTCATCTCTTTGGAAGATGATATCTTATTTTCCTGGACTAAAGACAAAGAGATATATTCATAAATACTGGAATATGCTGATATGTATACTAGGCTATGTCATTTATGCAAGACTGAATTTCGGTATTGTGACCTCGGTACATCTGTGCTGTACGGGGTTCACTAAGTAGCATGATTGTAATTATTTAGGCATCTCTTGGATGAAGCATATAACCAGAAAAAAGATAATCAAACAGACTCGTCTGCCATATAGGTGTGTGTTTTGGCTACCTTATATTCCTGATGCACCTGAATTTTTATTCTTTAATTATTTTGCTATTCATTTTTAATGAGGGGTACCAATATAGGTTAAGTTGGAACACTTTAATGGTATAAGTATTTCATGCATCACTTGGGTGCTTTTTGTGTGTTCAGTAAGACTGTAATGTTATCACTGAATCAGGCATGGTGATTACTTTGAGATATTGATAACATATCTCCCTCTGTCTGCATTCAGCTGCCTTACTGGAGGGGATTGCAAATACTGGTATGGTGGAACTTGGTGAGGTTCAACTTGCCACTTACCTTGCTGAGAGAAAGCCAACTGGACAATTTTTCTTTAGAAATGGTGAGTGTAGCATCTACTCAATTTACATCAGTTTATGACAAGAAGGGAATATCTCAACAGCTGTATAGAAAACAATTATTAAGCAAAATTGAAGTTTCCATTAGATTGCAAGCTTTGGGAATTTGCGAATCTTATGTCAAAAGCTCCTTTAAAATGTAAGAATATTTAACTACTTTGATACAAATGGGTTTATATAAAATCAATTGTGGTGGTGTGATAATATTTAACTATTCTTTACAAGCATATGGTTAAGTTCGAAAATGGAATTCTCTCACTTTATTGCAAGTGGGATCATGTGCAAGCTTGTAATTTGATACTTGCAGAATGCATCCTTGCCAGTTTTTCTATAGCCACATCCTAGATGAATCTGTTGGTTGAGAGAAAATATACTATAATTCAAATGTTCTGTTGTAATCTCATGTTTTTTCTTTGATAACCAGAAAAAAAGAAAAAACACTAGAGCTTGATTTGCTTGCCTTCTCTGGCTGTATGTCATTGATGGTTTGTCAATGGTAGGATACATTGAGGCACTATGAAGTAGCCAAATGGTTGAAGGAATTAAATGGTGGATTTTCAAGCTGGAAGTTATTTTCTTCTTGATTTTACGGCAACTCGAAACTTTATTTTTTTCATTGTGGCAAGAACTATATTTATGATCAATTCTGGCTTTAAAATTGTAACAAATTCACACAGGTCTTCCTTTGTTCGTTGCATTTCCAACAGGGTGTAAAACTGCTGATTGTGTAATTAGGTAAGTACCCAGTTAGGTTCTTTATTTAAAAAAAAAAGTAAGAAATTACAATATTCTATATTTTAAAGTATGTTGAGGAAAGCTTTATATTAAGTTTCATATTCCATATGTGCTTTCTAACTCCAATGAGTCTTATATCTTTCTTAATGTTATAGTAGAATAGTATCTAAAATGATCTTTGGTGTTAGGTTTGATGGAGAACTCTCCGTTGATGCAGTTACCGATTGGTTTGCGACAACCATATTAAATTTACCTCGCATTTTCTACTATACGAAGGAGTCACTGGTAATTAGTATTGACTCTTGGAACTTCATTTTTTATTCATAAGAAAAGTTTATCTTGACGTCCTGAGCATGAAATAAATCTTTTGGAGTGAAACCGTTGTATTCTTTTTTTTAAGTGAAACTGTTAATTGATTATTGATGGTCAGTGCTTTTTGCATGCACGCTTTCTTAGTGTCATTTATTGAAAATATAAACTTCTTCAACCCATCCTCAATTACAAGTTGGTGTTTGAGCTTTGGCATTTAATGTCTCTACATCATACTTGATTCTATGTCTGTATGTGCAAATAAAATATTACTCAGATTGTGGAGGTTATATATTACCTTTTGATTGTCCTTGGTTTTTAGTAAAACTTGTCAATATACTGCAACCCAATTATTTCATGACTGAAAACAAAAATGCATGTAAAGGCTAAGCTGCAGAAAAAAAATAAATTGTCACTTTCCTACATGAACTTTGGAGAATGAGTTGGTTACCATTTATATTAGAATTGATTTGTTAATTAGGTGAACCCAGTATTTACTTTAACATGTTACTGACAATACCATTTGAAACAATATTGCACTTTTTTGCATTACAAAGCCAGGTCTTCCATTTTTTTTTTTTTTTGGCTAGGAAAAGGAAGAAAACAGTAGTGAGTGGTGGGATAGAGTTCATTTTTTTGGTTCTCTTTAGGCTTCAGTTTTTTAGGATTTTCAAGATTTATCTTTTTTTTTTTTTTTTTTTCCTTTTCTTTTTTTGAATTCATCTGAAGTGAGAAGGGACTTTGGGTAGATTTTCTATAGTTTTTGGGCTTTTTTGTTCAGGGGAGAACGATTACTAACTAGAATTCTCATTGAATTGTTTCCCTTCTTTTTGTTTTATAATTCTTTGTGGACACTTGGTCTCCAGTTGTATTTCTTATCATTTTAATTCAAAGTTTATAGTTTCTTTAAAAATGGATAGTTGTCGCTCTTCTTTTAAGGGTTTGGGGTGCTGGTGGAGGGTTGTCTCACTTGTCAAATGTCAAAAGATAAAAAACATTTTGTTTGCTGAATTTATAACAAATAAATAAGTAATCAATGCATAATCACAAGTAGCTTTTAGTTTTGACTTTTGTTTCATATCTTGTGTTTAATGGATGTTATTGGCACAACTTGCCCTATGCTGATATTTTTTTTCTTGCTGTTATCTTATTTTTCATCCTTATTGTTAATGATGACTTGGAATTATGCATTAAATTCAGGGAAAAGATTTTCTGGCAAAAGCTGCGCCTCATAAGGTATGGTTCCTTTTTTCACAATATACTTTTTTAATGTTCATAAAATGCTATTTTCGTGATTTTATTTGTTTTGTTCTTGCAATTTGGTTGCTAGGCCATATTTACATTATGAAGCCACTATGTGAGGATGTCAACAGCTTCCTGGCTGATTAATATTGTATTGATATTTTAGGAATAGTCAGTTTAGATTTTCTGTTTACATCATTGTGGTTGTTACAGCTTGTGAAATAAGAATGACTTTAAAGTGTCTTTCATGCGTATTTGATCATAGTTGTTGAGCATTTCGTGAAATGAGCCTTGGAGCTGATAACTTGTTCTCTTGTGGGACCCAAACCAGCTTAGTTAATGGTGTTCATTTATTGCATTCAGAATCCTAAAGATGTTTGAGTGATACCTTTTGGATTAACGTAATCTTTATATGGTTTTCTTTGGGTCAGATTGAACCAAATTCATTACTAATTTGGGGGTATAGAGAGGTTAGCAACTGATATGTTAAAATTGATACTGCTTGTTGAAGTATTAAACTGACTATGAATTAGAAATGAAGATAGCAAGCTGCTAGTTGCAATTTTGCAATTGGTGATTCATGATAAATTTATATCCTGTATTGTTTCTCACATTTTGTTGTTTACATTATCATTTTTTTCCTGGTAGAATCCTTATGTTGTGACCACTTTCTTTTATGCAAAATTTGGCTTTACCATAAATTGTATGCGAGATCTTTTGGCTTTGAATTACCCAAGTAATAAGGGGTAATTTGTCAGACATAACTTAGGTTGATTTATCATTATTATTATAATATTTTTTTGGGGGTGGGTGAAGGAGGATAAGTGAAAACTTTTGACATCATATTTGGGTCTCAGGTAATGATGCTTTATGGAAATACTAAATTACCGTCCTTATTATCAAAATTAGCAACTTTTTTATGCAAAATTTTAATGTTTTATCTATGCCCAATTCATAACTTTGTGTTTCATCCTAGACGCAGCCATAAATTGAATGCTTTATGCTTAAGAATGGATGTGCAACATAATTGTTATGTGAAGAGCTTATTCTTTCAAAATCCTTGGAATTTTTGTCCTATAAGTTGGACTGATATTCTGCAATGCTGATTTCTGTAGTTATTCAGTTCTTTCTTATAAAAAAAAATAGTGTTCTCTATTGTGACATTTTAGTTTCCATAGCTTTGCTTAGATTTTCATGTGCAACATGGTGATATTTTGTAGTTCTTGATGCTTTCATGCTTTTTACCTGTAGGTAAAGGTAATTTTATTCTCAAAAACAGGCGAGCGTGCTACTCCATTTGTACGGCAAATTTCTAAAGATTATCGGGCTTATGCCTCTTTTGCCTTCATACTATGGCGAGAGGAGGAAGCTGCCCTTTGGTGGAACGTGTATGTGGATATGTTTTCTTATTACTGATTATAATATGCAATATTTATGTGGAAGAGACTGTTTTCTTCAACATGTTTTTGAGGAACCTGAATTGGAGTAATTTGTCAATAACATTAAGCTTATTTCGTCAATTACATATTTACCTGTATAATTTTTATAGCAAATTTCAATGATACATCTGTTATGGCTTGAGTTGAAAACCATGAAAGTAATGATGCTTCATTAGTTCCTTCTGCATTAGACAACCTAATTGAGATTTAACCAATGATGACAGGTTTGAGGTGGATTCTGCGCCTGCTATTGTATTCTTGAAAGATCCGGGTGTCAAACCTGTTGTGTACCATGGCATGTTACTCTTTTTCTATCACTTTACATGCCTTTTGTGGCTAGAGAACTTTTTATATGATTTTATTTGATCTATGAAAAAAGCTAAGTTGTGCAGATAATGTTGCAGGATCATTTAATAATTCACAGTTTTCAGAAGTCATGGAACAAAATAAAGAGCAAGGTATTTATAATGACGACGTGTTAGCCTAATTTTACTATTGTTTTTGGGATCATTAATTTATTTTTTTTAACAGGCTTCATTTGAATATTTATTATTTATTTATTCTTTTCCATTGACTATTTGACAACTCTTTTGTAAAGAATCCCAGTGTCTTTCAAGAGTATGCTAATTTCTTTTCCTCCACTCATCAGTGCACCTTTGTTTGTTAAGAAACCTATTCGTAAAAGTCACAATGAATTGGTGGATTGTCAATTGATGCTTGGACATTCATTGCACCTCCACAATTCACTCATTACATCGCTACAGATTATAGTAATAATCAGTGAAGATGTTACTGAATTAATTTTTTATATCTCATTTTTTCTTTGCATGATCACTCTTAATGTATGGATGGAACTACTTGGTTTCGTGTAGTACCTAAATGATGTTAATAAATAGTTGGCTGTTCTCATCCCCTTGAATTCTGAAAAGCAGAATAGGAGTTTTCCCATTATTTTAGGTCTGATAAGACTGAAACACTTATATTTGACCCACTATATCTTGGTATTTATTCAAATTGGTTCAAATGTTCAAGATGGAACCAGACCAAAATTAACCATGAAAATTAACTTTTAAAGTTATAATGAATGTGAAGAATGAAAAATTGAGATGGGAAAATGTTCAATCTACCATTCACGTTATATTTGCTTTGTTGCTGGTAAGGATAGATTACATGAAGAAATGAAAATCACTGGTTGGCTTAGATCATAGTCAAACCTTGCTTATCCATTAATCAGTTGCCCAATTTGGGGGGGTGGGGCGGGAGTGGTTGGGAACATTATGTTACCTCTATCAAAGTGTGTGAGGTTGTTGATGCAAATCCTGATCTCTCGTATAATTCCAGTTTAAAATTTTTTTTATCGATGGCTGTATCAACTTCCAATCTTAATTAGACATTTTTTTTCCTAAATTACTACTTCTGAAATCAGAATAATTTAGCATATAATTATACTGAACCAGTTTTTAAATAAAAATTTTCTTATATTTTGAAAGACCTATATTTATTGGGTTACACCTCTTCTCAGAGCTTCCTCAACTAAGGAGTTCGACATCAATGGAACTTGGGTGTGATGCCAGGGGTTATTCTCGTGCTGGAAGTGATACCAAGATCTGGTATTGTATCATTCTTGCAGGACGGCAAAGTCAAGAACTAAACAAAATGCGAGAAGTAAGTATTTCTGCCTGGATTTTGTTCCAAGGCCTTTTCATATACATATGTTGGTCTTAGAATAATCGTAAAGTATGTAGTTCGCCCAATATCCCTTGTGGTTTCATAACAGTTTTTCATCTTATTACTCTTTAATAAAGTTGTAACTCATTTTTGCACCTTTTCTTTTGAGAAAGGTAAGAATTACGGTTAGATCTTAAAGTTTCCATATTTTTTTCAAGTACTTTCTCTTTAGAAGTGAGAGAAAACGTAAAAAAGTTTTAGCATTTTGACTGTAGATATAGAGCATGTGATAAAACCGAATGAAAATAGAATTAAGACACTCGTAATGGGACCTAGGGAACACTACTCTGTGTAAAACAAAAAGTGACTTGTGGTGGTGGCTCCGGTGATGAAGTAAATGCCTCTAAGTAAAAGATAAAAAATACAGAGGGGGACCATTGCAGCTTATGAGATATCAAAGGAAGTTTTGTTTGATGATGCCTTCTAGGCATTGGGAATCTCCTAACATTCAACTAACAAGTAACTAGGAAAGAAAAACAATTCCTTACGACTTTTCTGAAAATCTGTTTTATAACCAGTAGGTCTGCATGATAACACAAGTATGCATTGGTTTAATATTTTTATACCTATTCTGGATCCTATTTTTCAAATCGCGTTTGGTATAATATTCTCAAAATATTACCTATTTTTTTAATTACATTAACCCCTAAGGTTATTAATTCACTAACCCCTGAAAAAAAAGTTTAAAATTAACAAAAAAACCCCCATCAACCAACTTGTCAGATTCCGGCACCCACGTCGGTGATAGCCGGAATGTACAACGGCCAACTTCCGACCAGAAATGGCGGAAGTTCACCGCTGTGGCCTTTTCCGGCCAGATCCACAACGGATTGGCCGGAAAAGGCCAGATCTGGCCGTCAGCGACGGCCAAAGAAAATGGCCGTCGTTGACGGTCAACGACGGCCCAATCTTGGCCGTCGCTCGATCGAAAACGACGGCCACATCTTTGGCCGTCGCTGACGGCCAAAGATGGCCGTCGTTTGGCCTTTTCCGGGTCGACGGCCAAAACAAACCATAGATCTGGCTTTTCGGCCAGATCTACCATGGATTAGCCGGAAAAGGCCATAACGATGTGTTCGGCACAGATCCGACAATCTGTGCCGTAACGAAATTTTCGGTCAGATTCGGCGGTGGTGGCCGGATCTGACACTGCAGTGGGGGGGGTGTTTTTGTCATTTTACATGTTAGGGTCTTTAGTTAAATTAGTAAAACGGGCTTTTTTAAAATTTAAAATTTACCTGTAATACTCCCATATCCAATAACCCAATACTACCCTTAAAATCCTATCCAAAATACTAAACCAAACGCACCCCAAGCTATTCTCTCTGTTTTCTACTGGTTTTTAACTTCACATGGGCTTTCTCTTTAATTTTTCATTTATATTAAGATCTGCTTCCATGTATCAAATGATGTTTTAATTGAATTAGGTAGCAGTTAGATCCCTTCTGAAGTATCTGATTAGAATTTCTTGAATACTTTTCTGAAGTTCTGTTACAGTTTTTAGCTTTCTTAGGATCCTTATCTAACTCTTTGGAGGTTCAATTATTGGACCCAAGACAGACTGTTTGGGGATCTAAGGCACATTACGGAAAGTCTGCAACAGCTAATCTTCTGCTTGTGGTCTTCTCTTTAAATTACTTCAGCCAGTTTATGTTCATATATTTGCTTAAGAATTGTTTAACACTTGAATAATATGGTAAATATGAAGGGACTTGCAGACATTCATATTTAAGGGAGAAGGGGAAAGGAGAGAGGAAGGGGGGGTGGGTGATGAAGGACAATACGGATAATAAAGATCAGATATACACCATTTAATGATACGCTTCCAGATACCGTTTTGGATGTTATTTTATGCATCTAACTTGTGCTATGGAATTTCCTTAAATTCTTTGTTTAAAATATGGGGGTAGTAACAATAGTTTGTAGACCGTGCGAGGGTTCAAGAAATATTATCAAGTGATGGTGGATCAGATGCAGCTGAGGCAGATCAATCTTAGCGCCATCAATAAATGCATTCAGAAAAGCGATGACTTTTGCTTGGCTTGATGGGGAAGCTCAAGAAGTGAGTTTCATCCCACCATTTTTGTGTTTATACATCTTATTTTTTGTTTGTTTTCAGGCATGTTGATGATACTGGTTAGTGTGAGCAAAAAACAATTATTGGATGAAAATGACGAAAGTTATGCGTTTGATTACTTGGTTGATCACATTTAATAACATGCCATGTTTTCATCTTTTTTAGAAATTTGGGTCATTTTGATGGTTTTGTTTGGTTTTCTCACTCTAGGAAACCAATGAAAGTTATCAAATTCATAAATATCATAATGAGGGGGACTAAACTTTCGTAGCAACCGTACCAAAATCAATTTGTGTAGGTAGTTTGAGAGTTTGTTCGGTTAAATGCACACCTCTATCTAAGTTGAAAGATGATGGTGCTTTTCTCCAAGTTGTATTCATTAGAAATTTTGGGATAACTGCATTAAATGCTAACTTAATTCATACAAGTTATAGCGTGCATCTATATTGGCCCTCAAGCGACTAATATTGTTGAATTTTCTCCAGCGATATTGTTCATTCTACCTTTTCTCAGAGACAATCTTTGAAAATTGTGGAAGAAGGAGGGATATGACTGATATACCCCGGATATTTATTGTGCGTTACAACAGAAATGCTACGCAGAAAATATAAAGTTGAGAAAAAACCGCATAATATATGGAGTGCATTGCAAGATGAAGAAGGGGATCCTGCTGCACAGCTCGTAGTGAGGTATAATGGTTCAGATGAATTCCTGAGGTATGAACTTTCTCTAATGTCAGATCTTTTTCGCACTGGCTTCCTTTAGCAGTTGTGATTCACTTGTCTTGGTGTTTATAAGTATGTGTAACATCTTTCATTTTCATTGAGATAAGTTTCACTCAGTTGAGAACTAAGGATACGTTGAACGGTGTTGTACTCTATTTTTTTTCAGATTTTAAAATGGGCATCAGAAATACAAGGATGGTGACACCAAAGATTCCCCTTCTATGTAAGTTGAGCCATCTTTTGTAAATACTTTAATCCAGTTGTTTTCTCTTTTAATCATGGAATTCTGTTATCAAATTATTGCAATTTATTTAATGGTGCTTAGCAAAAAAGCTCCACATCTCCCTCCCCCAATTATCGTTTACTATACATTAGAGAATATTTGGTGTGAAAGATTGTATAGTATAAAAAGCAGTGTAGTATTAAATAATACAATACAAGTTTGGTGAAAACTTTGCACTACATAAAGCTAATGCAATGTATAAGTTTTTAATCCATATCTATTGTACTAATTACCAAGTAAAAGGGTGGGTTAAGTGACATATTCTATTATTTTAATTTACTTTAATAATTTTAATAATCTATTAATTACTTAAATTTTCACTTTAAGATAGATAGATCATATTGATTTAAAATAACGATAACAAAAAATTTATTTTTATTTAAAATTTTTAAATATTCTGTGTGATAATAAATGATTTTTTTTTCTGTAAATTTTTAATTTCTTTTCTATAATTTTTTTAAAAATGCTTTAAAATTAAGGTAAAAGTAAAAAGAATTAAGTTTTAAATGAATTATTAAAATTCAACAAATACATTTTAAAAATCTAATTGAAAATCAAATGTAAATTAATACAATATAATGATGCACCAAACACCCTATTATATTTCATACAGTATTATCTTGTACTATTAAGTACAATACAATAGATATTATACTTACTATTCAGTGCAATGCGACAGACTAAACATTGCCTTATGTTGCTTTTAGTGTAAGTTGCTATTTGAGGTGCTTACAACAGGGCCGTTAGGCCTTAGTTCATCAGCTTGAATGGCTCAGTTCATATGTGATGTAACTAACAATGGTTTCTAATATAAAAATTTCGTTGCATTACGGTTTATGTTAATAACTAAAAGCCCAGATAGAAACGTGTCATGATTCTTTTGGAGTCTTTTGTCGTTACCCAAAAGTTCTTTCTCTTCCAATACAGAGAGTGAAGACTCTGAACTTGTTCCTGAGGATGCAGATCCTATGGTCCAGAGGGCACAAAAGCATTCGTTCTAAGAGTGTTGGAATGAAGCACTGCTGCGCAACATTCTAGCCGATGTTCCAGTTACCTTGGAGATCCAGAATAGGTCCGAGCTGCTTTTGGCAGCAATAATGTTTTGGTACCACTGGCTGGTTAGGAGTCAAAAACCAGCTGTCCTAGGCAATCAGGTCAACCAAGTGAATCAAGCACTGAGGTAGTAGTGGCTGGCTTAAAAATTACGATATTTTTTTAATGGTTTGCAAACTTCTCAAGTATAATGTGCAAAAGCTGTCTAGCATATTCCTTATTAATGTATGTACAATTGTCAATTACACACACAAACACATACAAATATAGTGCTGGAAAGAAAGATTAATAAGAAAGAAAATACTCTTACTGATCTCTCGTTTGGTGCCATGTTCTTGAATGAGTTGCAGCTGGTGAATGATGCTTATCATGTGCCAATATTCTACGAGCAAAAATTGTGTTTCATTCTTTCATTCGAAACAAATCATACTTGTGTGGTGTAATTTAGAAGCCTGTTTATTAGCATTGTTTATTCTATGATGATTATAGCTACTCAGATGGTTTAATGTTACTAGCTTCTCTATTTCCTTTTAGCTATTCTTTAATTCCTTCAATTTCTCGTCCTACACATTATTGTCCTTCGTAAACCAATCCAATTAACATGATCCTTGATATACTATTTTCTGTATTTCTTTTTCTCATGAAGCAATAAGGATAAATGCTTTGGAAACATTTTATTCTTTTCAGGATGAAACTAGACAACGACAGAGAGAGCGTGCAAAGAAATTTTCAAAGAAAGACGACCTTTTCTATAACCGATGTGGAACCAAAGATGCTTACCAGGCCCCTCTCTCAGATTCTGATTCAGAGTAGTAGATATCGCTTAACAAAATGGATAGCGCCGGAGATTCTCGAAATGAGATAAAAGTCGAAGGCCATAGTTGTAATTGGAAGTAACAAACAGTTGCTGTTGATAAAATCATTTCCAGATGATATAGGAAAAGATTAGACTATTACGGAACAATTATGTATTATTTAAGCTGCAATATCTAGAATCTAGATGTTATCTTGATAGCACCCTGGCAATCTAGTTATATAGGCTAGAAACTAGATATAGAAGGCTTCCTATTCAATTAGGTTTGGAATTTTTTTTTTTTTTTTTTTTTTTTTTTTTTTTTTTTATTGGAAAGAGTACCGAAAAATTGGTCTGTTCATATGTAAGAATTTGATACTGGATTACAGAATGTTGGTTTGTATTGTTGTATCAGCAAATAATGGCTTCCATTAGGCGTATATGAGATTTAAACTGATGGGGTGATCATTCTCATTTCAATTAACTGTGTACTTTAAGAACCTTATCTGATGGTTGCTGAACCCCTTTTATGTTTGATATAGTTTCAGGCCTTCGCCAGGTTGTTGAAGCATGATTTTGTATGATTTTTGTTAGAATCATGAATATGCATGGCAATTGTGTTCAGTACAGCTCTGAATTTGTAAAATAACATGAAGAATTGCCTTCATATGATTGACTAAGCGAAATCAAATTAGAGATGCGAACGTTCGCTTAAACTTTCGGCACAATATTTTTTTATTATTGACTTGATTTTATCCAATTATTAAGATGAAAATTTAGAAACTAGAAAGTGCCAATCCTCTATATTAAGGCAGATTAATGATAAAGTCGTTATATAAGTTAAATGTTCTTTTGACTTTTTAAGTTTTTTAGTCCTACCTTCTGCTTCAAGTTAAAAAAAAAATGCGAATAAGAAATAGATTTATCAATAATTAAAAAATAAATTTTACCATTGTATAAACCCTAATTGATATTTGTTTGGGCAAAGATTGCTTAGAGGAAGAAAACTCTTCTAAATTGATTGAACTGTTATTGATTATCTATTATGGGCCCGTGTGACCCGACCCACCACTCATCAGAAGGGTGATTTCGTAATTCAATTCAAGATAGTCTGAACTCAACTTCTCAACGCGGTATCGCTGTAAGCCCCGACAGACTTCAGTTAGTCAGCTGTTGGTTTTTCAGTTCCCTTGTTCATCAACATTTTCGATCGAAATCTTTTAAGGTGACATGTCCATGCTTAGATCGTGTCATTTGTTTTTTGAGTTCAATATTTTTATTCCTCTTCCTTTTGTTTTCGATTATATTAAATGGGTTTCATTCGTTGTACTTTTCATGCATAAGGTGAAAAATTAAAAATTATGCTCCCGTGGTTGCGTAAAATTCTCGAATTATTGCTTCTGTTTGTGGGTGTTGGTTAAATTCTATTAATATTGATATTGGGTGGTGATGCCTGTTATGGAACGCTTCTGGGTATATATTCGGTTTGTGTATTTAGTGTACAAATGTTGGTGGTGAGGAGGATGATAATGATTTTTCTTTAATGTGTTTTTCCCCACGTGTGTTGATGTGATTACTGAGGTTTCTTCTTTGATTTATTAGTATAGCTAGTATTGGTCTTGGCTTTTGTTTTGTTGCATGTGTTAGGATTATTTCTGGGTTTGTTAGAACTTAGTATTGGTGCTTTGGAAGGGATTCTCATTGCATATGAAGTTGAGGGGGAGTACCATAGCTGCCTGTGTACACTGAGCAATTCGATAATTGGGTTCAAATTGGTGGGCACTGAGATAGTTTGGAGTTGACTAAATTGTGACAATGGTAGATATGAATGTTTTGGAAGCTCTTTGTTATTTATTTATTTTCGCTAAAGCAAATGTTGGTAGTAGAGTTTCTGTTGAAAAACTTATGGGATGCAATTTTACCTTTTCTGCGAATGCGTGGTTTTGTAGTTGTCATTAGTTTTATCATGGTAGTATCATTTTCTATGACATTTTGCACTTCGATTATTTAGGTTTTTGAAGCAATGGGAAAGGACTCTAAACCAAAGGATGGAGGGAAGGGTAAAGGGAAACAGTCAGCAGGAGGTGATGAGAATGCTTCTAAGGGTAAAGGAAAAGGTGGGAAGTCAGCTGACGGGCTTGGCACCTGCACATATGTCAAAGGTTTCTAATTCTTGCTTGCCGCCTTTAGTAGCTTATCATTCATTTAATGATTATCTATCACATATCTGTCACACCCTTCTTTGTTTGGTTTTGCTTATGATACTCCTTAATTTGTTGTAGCGAGACATGTCTTATGTGAGAAACAAGGGAAGATCAATGAAGCATACAAGAAGCTGCAAGATGGTTGGCTTAGCAATGGAGATAAGGTTCCACCAGCTGAGTTTGCTAAGGTGAATCCAGTAGAAACTATCATTCCATAACTATTGAAGATGCTAAATATTCACTCTTGGTTTAGAGACCATAAGCACGAGTGTTAGTGATGACTATCTTATTTAAGTTATAGTGGTAAATTGTGCCTGGCATAAATTATGCACTTTTAAGAAAGACAACTTAGTTGGGCACCTCTAAGAATGCCTGAGTTTGGGTGTTTGCTGAATCATTTTCGTTCCTTACCCCTTCTCATCAGATAGCTGCAGAATATTCGGAATGCCCATCTGGGAAGAAGGGTGGAGACCTTGGATGGTTTCCACGTGGCAAAATGGCCGGCCCATTCCAGGAAGTTGCCTTCAGCACACCAATTGGAGCTACCAGTGCACCCTTCAAATCAACGTATATTCTTAAATTTTATTGTTATTTAAGGCTTTACACCAGCTTGTTTTAGGTATATCTTGTGGACCACAATATTATCCTTGGCTTATACTAGCTTATTTATTTTGTACCTTACAATGCAGGCATGGATACCACATAATCTTGTGTGAAGGGAGGAAGAATTGATGGAACCCGGAATTCGCATGAAGGGTAATCCAGGAAAGGCGAACATAGAGATGAAAATAATGAATTTTTATATTGAAGCATAATGTGGCTCATCAATGATGGTTGACATTCGTGGCTGAATGATGCTTTCTCATCAGAAGTTAGATATTACTGAGTATTATCTGGAAAGATTATAATTGTTTGGAAATGCTCATAAATTTCTTTTTCTTTTAATTTCAATTTGTGTGCTATCTCGACTTTCTTGAGCAAGGAAAAGATGAATGTCAGCTTCTAATTTTGTTGGGAACTTTTTATGATTTGAACTGGGATTTGCATACACACTTGGACAGTATTCCAAATGGATGTTTATAATATCTCAAAGAGTGCCGGGAAGAAGACTTAGGGGCTGTACTGGAAAATTTGCACCTAGAAGCATTTGATTTGACAGCCTTATATTGATTACATTTGGAGCCAACAGAGTCTTGGAATGGAAATTAGATGGGATTGGAGATATGTGTCACCAATTTGGTTTCAAGAAGATTTCTAATACCATTCAATTCTATGGCTATATTAATTACGTGGCATTTCAAAGCGAGGTCACTTGGGGCAACTCCTTGGCTACTGCCTATATGCAACAACTGCTTGTGAAGACCTTTTTTATATTGTTTTTTTGGTATAAATTGTCAAGTGTTGGCTATTATAAACCTAGGTGAAGGCACAATCTTTTTCTTCTGACTCTACGTCAAATTCTTTGAAGTAGAGGCTCTCTACTCTGCGCATCTACACGGGGAGTTCATAGCTAAAATAAGGCTCTATGTCAAACAGCTCTTGAGCATTAATCAACATAACCTATGCAACAAATAATATTACCAGACTAGGCATAAGACTCATAACAAGCCATTTACATGATTATATCAGCTTCCTAATAGCTGCAGCAATCAATCAAGGCAAGGTTATGCATAAATAAGCACATCAATCCATTATTACAAAAGTAGTTCAACCCCTAATTATTGAATGACTCATCAGACAAACAATCTATTAATTAAGTAACAAAATAATTAAGATATATTTTAATGAAATTGCTGATTCTATAGTACATCCAAAGAATTGCAACTTCAACTAGGACAGTTGCAATAGACTTTATCTGGTTTACAACTTACAACTCCTTCTCAAGATCAACTAGCTTAAGACCCCAACTCATGTCCTCACAGTGCCTCACATGAGGAACTACTGAACCCGTGTCAATACCTCTCTTAGCCTTGCAATCATAAAAGGGAGGTGCATGAAAACAAGGCTCCATTGACATCACTCTGCGACAAGGTGGATTGGGAACAGTCTTATTCTCTGGCTTATCGAGTATCCATGACTTCAATCCTCCGAGACCTTGAGCCACATACCCAAACGTCGACCATGAGCTTGTGACCAACACATCAGTCAAACTCAGCAGATACATTTCTGCCCAAGCCTTCCGGTTGTGTGTATGCTTTTCAGTTTGTTGAAATTCTTCATGACTTGGTTGGTAAAAGCTGATGACTTCTCCTGTTGCAGTTGGATGTTCCCAGTACATGTCTCTTAGTTTCTGAAGGTAACCAGAGCTTAAGGATGTTATCAAAACAGCTTTAGACATCTGAGTTCCGGGATGGATGATGGCTTTTTGCCTGTCAATTTCAGGTAGCAGATTCTCCTTTGAGGTACAAGCTAGTATCTGATCCAACACATGTTGGAATGGACTAACGACAGTGTCAAAGACTCGAATTTGGAGGCCTATTCTTTCATCTGCCTTAGCTAAGTATGCATGATAGTATCTGGTGATAAGTCCCCAGACAGGATTTGTGGGATGGAAAAGATACCGACCCAACAAGTGGAATACTGTATCTTTCTTTGGGAAAAGATTACTCAGCTCTTGCTCAAATGATGGGATCAAGAAGAGAGATGGGATGAAGTAGTTATCAGTTTTCATGATCAACCAAGGTACTTTTTGAAGAAAACTTTGATCTTCATTGCAAAAGAAAAGCTTATCATGATCATCATAATCATGGACAAGATGAAGATATGCCAAAGATGGTAACTTCAAGCCATTTGACTTAGTAGAATTGTTTTTCAGCATCCTCCCATAGCAGTGAGGAGAATTTTGATCAAAGTGGTCAAACTGTTTTTTGATAGGAAAATCTGAGGGGAGAAACCAAGAGACCTCCGGAAATGGTTCACAGAAGAGATCAATCATGTCAACTCCTGGATCAACAAGTAGGACCCTGTTTGTAAGGAGAGCATAAAGAAATGCTGATGCAAGGGTTACTATTCTATTCCCTAATCCGCTAAAAGAAATCCATACTAGATAGTTACAATCTGAGGATTCTGGAGGATGGCCAGACTTGAGGTTTTCCAAGGTTTTGTTATAGGATTCAGTATAGGGTCCACATCTTTTGTGGAGAGCTTCATAACTTCGTAACCTGGAAATGAGGTAAGAAGAAGGTTTCTGAGATGATGGTTTGTGATATGATGCTGACTGGTACCGGCTGAGACAAGATCTTTTGTCAAATTCAGCAGAAAGAAGGCCATCTAGCAATTCCTTTGGCACATCATCAGACTGAAAGGAATCATCTTCTGAACTGGGGACTGTAATAAGGGAAAAAGAAGGAAAGATGTAAGTAATTTGCAAAATAGGGTTTAGTGAGTTTTCCAAGAAAAACTCCTGCCGTAAAAGAATTAAGCAACATTATAATTCCTGACAACATATTTTGGCCTTTTATAGGAGAAAAATTTTGGTTTTCAGCCTAACTGTTTCTAACTTTCAATCATCTCAGTAAGACTGTGGAATGTCAACAATTTCCTCTAAATAAGCATTTTGAGAGTACTCAAGACAGGAATATTAAAACGAGCCAAACTTTGAAAGCTGAAGTGCATATGAAGAAAAATTCAGATTTACATAATCAAATTATCAAATGTTGTGCATCAACAATCTAATAATGCCCAAAGCATAAAATCTTATAGAGATGATCATACCAAGAAGAATAACAATAAACAATGCGATAGAAAAATGAAACAACCTTAGGAAACTAATGGTGGCATTGCCGACAATACAAGATAGCATTGTCTAACAACTCGAAAGAAACCAAAAGGACACAAGGAAAGTCAATAAAAACACCAATCAAAGCCGTTAAGGTCATAATGTATATTATTACAAGTCAGTGTAGCCAAATCAATTGCTAAAACTGGTTTCTAAAGTCGGTTCTATTCACAGAGAACCAGTAATTACTCAGTCCAAACACATTTAAAGCTGCCTCAGCCAAAATTTAGATCGCTTAGTGCACCAACTGATAATAAAAATTACACATGCAAGTAATGCTAGTCCCACACTAAACACAATGTACTCAAAACCACAACCACAACTACACATACAACAAACAACATACACAAACCAAAATTTTTAAAAAGAGAACTTTCTCACAAAAGTAAATACCTTTCTGTAATTTCTCTTCAAACACTCTAGCTTCATTAGGTTCCCAAACACCATCAACGGGTAGGTCCCTAAGCACCATTGACACAGAGAACAGAACCGACACTGCCATCAAAATAACCAAAAAAATACCCATCAACCTCATCGAATTCAACTCGAACCGGCATTCACTATCCGGATCTCTCAAGACATTGTTGTCACTACGGCTATCAGTATCCGGGTGGGTTTCCGGGTCAGTATCCGTGTTTTTATTGAAGCGCTTCATAGCTGAGTAAATCATCTGGGTGCTGCAAAAAACTAGCTTAGGTCCGTTTTGGACCAAATGGTTGGTCCAAAACGGGGTATTACGACCTGAGATTGTGTGGATCGGTGGTGGGTGTGTTGCAGAGGTTAGTGATAAAGGAGAGTTGAAGAAAGCGAGCAAGTGTCACCGACAACTACTACACTGGACACGTTCCACGTGCACTGATGCAAAGTTATGGTTTGGATCCTGTGAACGCAGGGACAGAGACTCGAATTAACTGGCAGAGGAATGGGTCCACGAATGGATGACATGTCGTCCAAAAAAAGACGAGATGTCGTGCCAGTGTAAAATGGTGAAGACGTGTAGTTTGTCCTTTTTTTTTTTTATTTTATTCTTTTAATTTCTTTTTTTTAACCCTTTTTTTTTTTTTTTTTTTTTTTTTTTTTTATTTTTAATTTTTGTAAATTTTTTTTTTAAAAATTTTTATTTTTCTTCTATGGTTTTTTATTAATTAATTTTTTTATTTTTAGTTTTTATTTTTTTTTTTTTCGTTTATTATTCAAATTTGGAATGGAGAGAATTACAAAAGGATCGGGGTAAAGTTGTCTTTTGATCACGATAGAAGATCTAAAGTTAATTATTCCCTATTAAAGTACAGTAAAACTTCTCTATTATAATACTTCATATAGGAATAAACTCTACATAGTCATAAAAAATTATATTCCCAATTTATGATAGTTATAAATAAGAATAAACTCCCCATTGTAATAAGTTATAATGTTTTTAATTCCCGTCTTAAGGAAACTTACCTCTACATAATAATAATTATTTGTATATTGCAAAAAAAAAAAAAATGTTATCTTACCTTAAATGTTTAAGATGAAATAAAAATATTTATCTAAAATTGTTTGGGATAATGATTTATTCTTTAGAGTTGTTACCACATGTTTTAACTTGCAGGTACATTACTCGCTGGCATTGACATTTTTTTGTTGAAGCTAAAACATTTTTAGCTTCTCAAACATGTTTAAAGTTTCTTGGCACGAAACTTTTTGTATTTTCATACTATCAACCTCATTATTATTTCATTTCTCTTATTGTCTAATTGTACCAATGAGTTATTCTTCAATTAAAGCATACATGACTTGTTGCTTATATAGATGATTGAAGATGACATTAATATCCATTTGATTAGTATAGTGAAGTTGCCGAATCTGATCACTCAATTCTACAATGACTCTTTGATTCTCCTAATCCACTTTATTTGTAATTTTCAATTCACCAACATTGGGGGTCCTAATTTTGCAATGTTTAAAACAATTGGCAATTGTCTGTGGTTTCACATCAATTGACTATGCAGCAACTGCATTTACAATTCCATCAAGGATACTTATCTTTGTTGGTTCCAAGACACGATCTTTTATTCGTTTCAAAACTATGCAATTGAAGGACTGAATTGAAACCCTAATACTATTAAAACATAAATTGAAATCCTAATATTGTATTCTTAAAACATGAATTATGAAATAAAAAAATTTGTAACTGTACCTTTATTAAGTTATAACCTCTTCATAGTAATAAAATTAGTTAATCCTACAATTATGACTATAGAAATGTTTTACTGTATCATTAAAAGAAAAGAATAAAGATAGATTGACAAACACTTTTCATAACTTCCTCTCATAAATGTTGATGTGGTAGCTCGTAATTGGTCAGTTCGTATTTGTTTAGGTAGGACCCATTATAAGCTGACTAATTACAAGTTGACCCGTCGCGTTTGTAAGAGAAAGTTAGTGAGATAGGTTTGTGAGTGTAGTATTATTGAAAAGAAAAATACAATGAAGTTGCAAAAAAGTCAATAAACTTCATTCATTGGCAAACCAATTAGACAATAATTGGCGTTTTAGAGGAGGACGAATTTGAGCCTTTTAACTCCAATAATTTAAAAAGTTTAAAAATATTTTGATGTTCAAATCTATTAAGTCCCACAAATATCAGCTATGATCATGTATTATATTTCTAAATAGTCCAAAATACTGTGAATAAACCACCCTTGCGTGGTCGAGCGATTGAATAAGGACTTTTGGAGTGTTACCCAAAAGGTCTAAAATTCAATTCACCTCGATTGTTAATAGGGGTGACCACTGAAAGTTTACCCAGCTATTAACTTCATAGCTCAGGGGATTAGTTGAGGTGTGCACAAGCTGACCCGAACACTTCGGTCACCAAAAAAGAAAAAAAAAAAAAACTTAAAATATATATGAAATTTAGAAAATCTTAAAAAGATGAGCTATTATAATTTTGTAACATCTCACGACACAATTGCTTCTTAAAACAAAGATTTAGTTAAAGTCATGGTTTTCTACAACAGGTTATAAGACATGAGATTTTCAGGAACTTGATTACCTTAAAATGGCTTTTTCATTTTCATTCTCACCATTCTAAGGTATGTTTAGCTGATAGATTTTGAACATATGTTTGTGAAATTTCAATAGAGTACAATTAGAAACCCAATTGTTAAGATCAAGTTACATTTTCCCCCTAAAACTACGGCTGTTACAAGAAGTTGAAGTGTTGAACATAATAAGGTATTTTCGTCTTCTCGTGTGACTCGTGTCTATTCAAATTAGAAATCAACATAGTTTCAGAAAAAGAAAAAAGAAAAATTAATATAACACATCACTCTCGCTCCCCACATTCACTAGAAGTCAATTCAATAGGCTTTCTTTCCTCCCCTCTCCATTCTCGTCCTATTTTCTTCATTTCATTTCGTCTTGTCTCTGACAGCTCTCTTTTTCTCTCTTTCTCCCCTCTTTCGCAAGTTCTTCAACTTAAAAGTGAAAACATTACACCGAACAAGCTTGTTTATTCATCTCTTGGTAGCCGTTCTAAGACTATAGGCTTTGATGAATTTTCTTAGATCCAAATATATGTTGTTAGATATGAAGCTTTGTATAATGGATATAGTTGATTTTGTGTTGGTCGAAATATAGGTGATGATGCAAAAATCAAAATTTGTTTTAATCCATTTTGGGGATTATTTTTGTAATTATTTGTATTTGAAAGAGAGAAAACATTCGAATAAAAGATGATTATACTGATTATTTATTCCCAGATTCTCAGCCAGATATTCTGCAGGAAGAAGAGCTTCAGCAGTCTCGTGATTACTATTTTCATAAATCCAAACGACAGCAATACATGCATGCACCAAATACCTCTGCAGAGCAGCCATTTCAATCTCCAGACATTTCTCCGGACATTCATCCAGATTCATCTTCTTGACAAATTCATGCTGATTGGATTTAAGCAATGGGTTGTCTCGATTTCCAAGATGAAGACTCATGGCACATTACAAACTTGTCAGATGATTAAAGCTCTGCGTGTCTTTTTATAAATATTTATGTCCTGACATATATGACTTTTTGGATTTTTTTTTTTTTATTAACCTTGCCTACAATATTTGACTCTTATATCTTACACAGAAGATATTGCACTTGATTAGTCCATGTTTATTTTACAGATAAACATAAAGGACATAAATATTTATTTTAAGACACGCAAAGCTTTAATCATCGGACAAGTTTGTAACATGCCACGAGTCTTGATCTTGGAAATCGAGACAACCCATTGCTTGAATCTAATCAGCAAGAATTTGTCGAGAAGATGAATCTAGATGAATATCCGGAGAAATGTCTAGACTGAGAGGGCTACCTTGCAGAGTTACTTGGTGCATGCATGTATTATTGTCGTTTGGATTTATGAAGATAGTAATCACAAGACTGCTGAAGCTCTTCTTCCTGCACAGTATTTGGCTGAGAATCTGGGTACCACCATTCTGGATAGTCTGAAGTGTCATTCAATTGAGCAGTAATGGAACTCATGCATGTTTGTTTGGCCTGGAGTAATTTCTCAATGTACACTAGAGGAAAGTGTTCCCACGGGGCACCGTCACGAAAAGATGGTCATATCTCATCTGGAATCATTTGATTTTTCTCACAAAGGATCTTCTGAATTGACCTAATCTCAACAGGATGGTCAAACATATTATGGACGAGATCATATGGATAAGACTGATGAAATGTGACTTGATGCGGTGAAAAATATAGGCCATCAGATCTAATAGAGTGATGCCTATGAAAAAACATGATAGACCATGCCATTTTGGTGGACATAGGACTTCGAGCAAGTTGATGAGCAAACACAAACTTCCATTTTTCCAAGGTTTTGAACTATTTCAGAAAAGTCATCAAAAGGTGTAACTCAGAGGTCGAGGATGACTGATACTGGGAAATCATTTTCAACATATAATGAACCGGGAATTGAATTGCAATGTGGTACTGGTGTAACATATACCAAAAGAACCATAATAATTCTTCTGGAAATATGACATTTGGACCCAGAGGTAAACAAAAGATTTTTAAAAAGGGGTAATTTGGATAGACACCTAACATATCATAAATGGACTGTCCACATTTTTCAATGCATTGAATCTGATAAGAAAACATGAGGGTGGTGGCATTTTCATCAATGGTACGAATTCGAACAAGGTCATCGAATTCAGGAGGTGTGTCTGGCATATGGTTTGGTAAAAAGGAGGATGAACAAGAATTGGAATGGGTTAGTGGTTGGTACATGAAACAGGGAAGTGGTTTGGACCTAAGGTTCATGAAACAAACTTGTTTAGTTTTAGGCCTAGATAAATAATCTACAATGGTATAGGTGTGACCTTTGATATGCTGGATGGTGAAAGAATACTTGCTAAACCATTCTACCCATCGAAGTAATTGTTGATGTGAGACATTTTTCTTGTTGAATCGGAGCATTTGATTAAAGGATTTCATATCCGTTTCAACAAAGAAATGATGTCCAACAAGATGGAATTCAAAACTTTCAATAGCATTTAATACTTCCTCGAAAGTAGAATGACAATGTTGTTGATGTGGTTTGAATTGTCCACTCTGGTATTCACACAAATGTCGTACTTTGTCATCATCTTGTTCAAAAAGCACTACACGCAATGAGTGTCACTAGAGTCCGTTTGAAGACTTCATTTCCCAGAAGAGGGAATCTTCAATGGCTGTGTATGGAAGGATTTGCGTTTAAGACTCTTAACTACATTGGTTTGCTTATCAGACCATGAAAGAGGATTCTTTTTAAGCATTTGGGAAACTGGAGAAGTGAGTTGAGAAATGTTGGGAATGAAACTGCGCATGTAATTGACAATTCCCAAGAATTGTTGTATTTCTTTCTAGGTTGTGAGAACATCTGGGAATTTCTACAACTCACTAGCAATATGAGGCTAGAGGTCATACTTGCCATCAATAATAACCATACCAAGAAAATCAA